AAACATGTCCAACTGGCTCAAGATTTTGTGACTTGGGATGTTTGTCCACAGTTTTTATCTTCTTAGCTCCTAACCCCAGCCTTGGGGGACACTGCCTTGGGGCCCACTTTTCTGATGTCACCCCTGCGCCCTCTCCCGCCCCTGTCTGGGCTGGGCACTCTCCTCTGTGCCCCCAGAGTGCCTGTCCTTCCCTCCAGCCCCATGCTGTGCCAGGACAGTTGGCATTCTTCTGTCTCTCCTGTTAGACCATGAGCACCACGAAGATGTGCTTTATCTCCCCTTTTGCCTGCACAGGGCACACGCTAAACATTCGCACTTACCTGTTCAGTGACAGCAAAGGAATGAGTTACAGCGATTCGCTCACAGGAGATGGGACCTCATCTTTCAGAGCCTTGCTGGTGTCCAGGGGTCACTTTCTCAGTGTATGGTCTTCGGATCGTCTGCATCAGGATCATCTGGGCTGCCTGTTAAAATGCAGATTCCAGGGACCACTCCGCACTTGCTGAATCTGAGCATGTGGCAGTGTAACCTGGGACTGTGGACTTTAACAAGCCACCTGGGCAATTTTCATACATACTAACTTTGTGAATAAATGTCTGGATCCACAAATCCAAGTTTTACAATATTCTGAGCATCCCTGGCTGGAAATGTGCTCCAACTTCCATCAGTCACCAAAGTGCAGATCCTTAGTCAACACAGCTTGTGCTATGCGCTGTGCTTTGAGCAGTCCCGGGACTTGGAATCCTTTTCACATTACAAAGGATGGCAGTTTCCATCCTTTGCATCTGGTCTCCCTGAGCTGGCAGAGAAAGGCTGGAGGCCTGGCTGTCTGCAGGCTCGCCTGTGGAAGTGGCACACGCAGGCAGGCAGGGGGCATCCCTGCTCCTTGTCTCCAGCTGAAAAGATGGGCTGCCGACAAGTCATCCACGCACTGTAGTTCTTCGCAGATTTGCCAAGTTGGTGTGTGAAAAACAGTATCTCCTTATTGTTTTAATATCCACTTCCTTGATTACTCATGTGACTGAATACTGCAGCTAGAAGTGATCAATGTAGAAAAAGAGGACGCTTGAGTTCACAGGTAGCCAACATCAGTAGAAATGGGCTCTCTCCTCTTTCATACTTTCTCGCAGCAATCTGTGCTTTTTTGAAATATACGGATACTCACCCCATGCACCAGAATAACAGAACAAATTGCTAGCAAGTTCTGCGTGAGCAGATGTACGGAATGAAAGTGTGATACACTTGAGCAGGGCTAAAGCTTTCTTTGAAGTAGCTGTTGCATACAAGTATAAGAAAATGTACACATTAGCTGTATGACTGGGTACCTCATATGGCAGCGCTGAATCTCGCTTTTTCCACCTATAAAACTAGAGAGCATTGCATTAAATTGCAGATGGATAAAGCTGGAGAAAATCTTTGGGAGCCTCTAGTTGCAGACGTGCACACTGAGGCCTGCCTCTAGAAGACGATGCTGGCATGGGCTTCCACGGAATGTCCTGGCAAAATGTGGCCCTTCTAACTTCAGCTCTGGCGTTTTGGAATTTCCAGAAAATCTGTTCCTTGTCATACACAGGACCAGGTGTGGCCACCCATCCGTGGTGATAATATATCATGTAGCCAATTTGAAAAACATTCTACTTATGAAGCAGAAGTTCCATCCTTTTTAAAGTGATCGATAGACTCACATGGCGGGGGGGCATTTCTTAATCATGAGATAACTTGGTGATGGAGCCCTCCCAGGGCTAATTTAAATGGAAGAGCAGGTAATAGTTCACTTGGGTTCATTTTCCACTTTTTAAAATGCCATTCTTTTCTAGCAGAATCGATGTTTAAGCTATTAACCCAGCTCTCACCAGACATTTTTCTTGTGGTTTGGTTTATTCTGGTTGTTATTTAATTCTCCCCAAAGGAAAACACCAGGAGACCTTGGGAATATGCTGCAGCCCCTGCTGCTGGCACCACAGAGTTCGGGCGAGGGTGGGGCACGGCGGGGAGGGGAGCAGTTTAGGAGGTGCCCAGGCCCAGGCTGGTGCCCTGGCTTCACCTCCGACCTTGTTAACTTGAGGATGGAGTATCCTTCGTACGAACACATAAGAGAAAGCATATAGAGAGCTTGGCACAGGAGGCGTACACACGCCCCAGCAACGCTGGTGGGAGTGTAAACTAGTGTCACCTTGCAGGAGGGCAGCGTGGCAATAGATCAGAATTTAAAACGCGCACACGCTTGACGTGCAATTCTAGGAATCTAACCTACAGGTGGAACTCACGTGTTTAGAGTGACGTATGCACAAGGATGGTCACTGCAGCATCGCTTGTACTGTCTCAAAACATTTGAAAACAACCCAGATCAATTGGGGATGGGTCAAGTAAGTTGCAGTACATCCGTGCAAGGGTCCGGTGTGCACCATTTAATAAAAATGAGACAATCGTATAAAAAGTGATTTGGGAGGGTCTTCTAGATGGGAGACCTATTGAGGGAAAAAACCTAGTTGAGGACCAGTCCTTACATGAATATGCCGTTTGTGTAAAAAAAGAGAAAACGTGTAAAACATGCTTATGTAGTCATAGGCTCTCTTTGGGATGGTTGAACAAGGTTTGTTTGTGCAGGTTTCTGTTGGCCTGACTCCCTGTCTCTGGTGATAATATTCCTTCCCTCCTGGCAGAGGGGGTTTTGTCACATGGGGTTGACCTCCCGCTTTGGGGAAGAAAAGAGGAGGTGGGAGTGCCCGTCTTGTGCCTGCTGTGTTTCAAGGGTCTTTAACTCAGAATAATACTTACGCCAAAATAGCAGATTTGGGGGTGGCATATGCAGTGCCCTTCCACATTCTAAGGCAGTACTGGTGGTGGCCTCTGGGCGCGGCTTCTAGGGAAGCTGGGAACACCACTCAGTTGCCTAAGTCCCAAGGTAGACACGTGTCCTCCGTCTTTCCTTTCAGTTTGTCTAGTAGCAGCTCCTGTCGATGCTACCTGTTCTTGTTTAGATTCACCCACTTCTCCTCTTCCTCCTGCTTCCCTCCACCACCCCCATCCCATCCGCCAACCTTCCTCCCCAGGACACTGACACAGCCACGTGACCGATCACCCTCCTGCCACTCTCAAGGCCCAGGAGCCAGTGTCACCTTTTAGAAGTGACCCCTGCTGCAGCTTTCTGTTGCAACCAGAATAAAACCCAGTGCCCTTACCAAAGCATCTAAGGCCCCCATGATCTGGGCACTCTGGCTTTCCAGCGCCACCTCAGCCGCACTGATCTCTCTCCTGCTCCCTGAATCTGTCCTTCCTGCCTCGAGGCTCTGAGTTGGATGTTCCCTTTCCCCGAAATGTTCTTCTCCCAGCTTTTCCATGACTGCCCCATTCCACCCTTCAGCCTCAGGATTTGTCTAAAATAGCATCCTTTCTCTCTGCCTTATCATCACCGGCCTGTTCTTTTCCTCTCAGCACATATCGCAGTCTGTAACAGTCTATCGGTTGACGTGTATTTCTACTCTTCATCCTCCCCCAGGAGGGTAAGATTCTTGTTCATCTTGTCTGTCGTTCGATCCCCGAAGCCTGGCTCAGGGCCTGGCATGTACTAGGCGCTGAATCCATGACTGTTGAACAGATGAACATCTGGATGAATGAATGAGGTTGGCAATGAGTCCATCTTGAGCTGTGACTGCAGGTGCTTTGGGGACCAATTCCTCTGATAAAGTTCAGGCAGGAGAGGCCGAGAGAGCCAGCTGCCTGCCGCAGGCTTGGGCTACAGGAACCACGACCCTCAGTGACTCCACACTTAGGAAAAATAGTTCAGTGACACCTTGTCCTGTATCGTAGTGCTTCATGCTTGTCTTGGAATGTAACCTCAGTGAATCTTCGCTTCCTGGCCTTGGCCCTCACTTTGACTAATCCCGTCTGATTCAGGGGCATGAGAACTGGTACCCAGGGCTTCTTTTGAGGTTTCACCACTGTGGCCCCATCATTGCTCCCAAAGATGAGCAGGGAGCTTAGCTTCAATCCCAGGCTCTGCCAGTTACTCTGGTGAGATTCTTATCTCTGGGACTTTTTAAAAAAAAATCTCTAAATTAGAGTTCTAAAACCAGCCAGGCCCAAGTGTAAGGATTATCTGCTTAATGTGCATAAGATGTTTACTGTGGTCATATAGTAGGTAGTCCAGAAAATACCAGCTCCTCTTTAGTATAACTGGAGTTAGCACGGAATTACCCTGAGAAAGTGTTGGTCCTGGCCTCACTCGGGTCCATCTGGGCTCCCATCATCTAGAATTCCTGCCTTCCCTGCCTCGTTCCTTCAGAGATTAATTCCATGAATGGACGCACCTAGTCTTTCCATCATGCAGGACTCTGGGTCATACCAGACATTATAGCAGGTCAGTATCCCTAGAAAGCCAGCTGTGAGCCAGAGATGTGCAGGCAGAACGTTTACTGGGAGCGTGGGTCCCAGGACCGAGTGGAGGGTGGAGGGGAACTCCACTGCCGGCTCAGTGAGGGCCCCGCTGATCCCACAGGAGCTCAGAGTTGACCTGAATTGAGGCAAAGGGTCTGGCCCTTCCTTCTCTGCACTGACTGGTTGTTGGGAACCGATGGGGATGTGACCTTTGACCAGGTGCTCTCTGTAGCTGAGGCGACGCTGGAAAACTGCCAGCATCTTCAGTGGCTGAGAGAACACACTTGAGTCAGAAAGGAGGGGTCGGGAGCATCTC